GCCTCTCTTTTGTTATGCATGTCAGCACCACAGGTTGTTGACAACGGGATTCAAATAAAGCCTTCTCAAAAAGCCTACTTTCCTGCTTTGTGAATGTTTATTTATTTATTACTATGTATTTAACGGAGCCCCCGGTGGTGCAGTGGGTTAAACCACTGAGCTGCTAAACTTGCTAATGGAAAGGTCACAGGTTCAAATTTGAGGAGTGGCATGAGCTCCCGCTGTTAGCCCCAGCTTCTGCCAACCTAGCAGTTCAAAAACATGCAAATGTGAGTAGATCAATAGGTACCGCTGTGGCGGGAAGGTAACGGTGCTCCATGCAGTCATGCCGGTCACATGACCTTGGAGGTGTCTACAGACAACGCCGGCTCTTCGGCTTAGAAATGGAGATGAGTACTACCCCCCAGAGTCGGGCACGACTGGACTTAATGTCAGGGGAAACGTTTACATTTACTTTACTATGTATTTAATAGCTCCCTTTTTAGAAATAGCTCTTTACAAGGCAGTTGTTTTTTTTTGGTCGTGTCAGGAGCGACTTGAGAAACTGCAAGTCGCTTCTGGTGTTTACTAGGCAGTTTACTTAAAACTGTTACTTCTACATAATCACTGAAAAATGTGTGTGCTATAAATAGTTTAGCATGACAATGGGGAAACACTCCCAACAAACCGTTGCAAGATACACAGGTGTAGTTTTGCTTTAAATGATTGTTGATTGAGTTAGTCTTATATGTGGTGTTTATTTGAAAGTCCTCTGAATGAAAAGCAGGACTGTTAGTAAACAAACAAATGCATAGTGTGCTGTGGTGCTATTTTTGTACAGCCACTTATAAAATAATCTTATGTGAAGGAGTACTGAAAGCTCAGAGCAGCTTGAAAAATACCTGGCTTTAGTGATTTTTTATGAAATAGGAAGATGCATACTTTCAGTATATATGTTGGGGTGTATATGTATGTATGTATAATATATATAAGTGTGTGTGTGCATATGCATCAATATATATTTAGATGGTCACACACACACATACACACATATATAGATGGTCACACACACACACATATATATACATATATATATATGTGGCGATGGCCTACAGGGAGCTCTGGTGATGGCTGGTCCACAAAGTCATGAAGAATTGGAAGCGAATAAATAATAACATAAACATATACACACACATACACATACATATATATAAATTGCTGTATGGCTCAAAAGTTTACATACTTTGTGTTGAATCACAAAACCCAGCAATAAGCAGATGTATTGCTGTGCCTGTGTTGATTATCAACTAACATGTAAGTGTACGTTGCACAAGAGGGTTTTATTCACCATTTCACAAAAAATGTGTTTTCTTCTTAATTCAATTGACTTTTTCATCTATTTGTTATTTTGAGCCAGCTACAATGAATCTTCCAATGAAGATCTGATATGCTGAGAGACATTTCTGAGCTGTATGAATGGGAAAACCCTAGAGTTGCGACCCACCTGGCCAGAATTGTTAAATGTTTGTGCTTCAGGTTTCTATATGCCTCATCCAATAGATTGGTGGGTTGAATCTGCGAGACAGAGTGAGCTCCCAACTGTCAGCTCCAGCTTCCCTTGCGGGGTTCCCATAGGATGGTAACATATCCGGGCGTCCCTGGGCAACATCTCTGCAGATGGCCATTTTTTTCTCACACCAGAAGCAATAGATCTACTTTCATAAATCAGTTTCCATGCAAGCCAGTGTTATCTTTTCCCATGAGGACTCAGAAATGGTTTAAAAAATGAGATTTTCGTTTCTAAATTTTCTAGGAACACTCTCCAAACAATCACAGCTGACAGAGTGCAATATTTGAAAAGATTTTCCTGAATGTAACTCCCTTGAAACATTTATTTACTTCCCTTGTTAAATTGACTTTCAAGACATCCATCACTCAAACTTCTTGGGTTTTCTAGGATGAAGCTCCGCAAAGGAAAGCCTTCCAACGCTTTGTTGATTTGGTGAAGAGAGGGAAGTTCCACCAGTTCTATGGCTTAATGGGGAAACGTGCAAGAGGCAAGTGAAAAGAAGATCAGTTTGTAGAAATCTCTTGCTTTTTGGAATGAAAATAGCAGTGGCACTTAATAGATGGACAACTTTTCCGTTTTAAACTGAGGCAACCTTTGTTTTGGTTTCTTTGTTGTAATCGGATATCTTGCCTTTTCTCCAGGAGGTCTTGCTGGTTCCATTCCCAATTCCAATATTTTGTGGTCAGAGTATTTCAATCTTGTATCCTTAATCAGTGGGATATTTGAGTGTATTCTGAGAATAGAGAACCTTTCTCCAACCAATCCAAAATGTTTCACATGGCTCTCCTCATTCTCCCCAGTTTATTCTCACAACAAAGGAGAATGGCGGAATAGAACAGACCAAAAGCTCTTAGTCTAGAAAAGGTGCATTGTACATCTAAGTTTTTATTCCTTCCCCAATTTTAACATTCAGTTTTCTTTGCTGGAACTGCTTGTTGTTCCAAGTTTCCCCAATATTTCATTACTGGGTGTATGTGTATGTGCCTTCAAGTTGTCTGTTGACATGTTTAGATCTCACACATTTCTTAGGGTTGTCTTAGGCAAGGAATAGTTAGGTGGTTTTGCTAGTGCCTTCCTGTAAAATAAAACCTGGTATTCATTGGCAACCACAAAATTTGCTAACCAGGGCTGATCCTGCATAGTTTCCAAAATCAAATGGAATCCTGTGACTTTAGAGCAGTGAACATTACCTAAGCATCGAGATTCTCCCTGAAAGGCAGAAGGCCAAATTTCAAATTCCTGCTGAGCAGGTCTACCTCAAGACCTTTTACTACCAGAGGCAAAGTAGCAAATGGTGATTCCCCCAATCCATCCCCCGAGAACATACGGCAAATGACAGTATCCAACTTCAGCCAAATTATTTTTTTGGCACATGGGAAGGAAATCCCATAATCTCCCATATCCTTTTTGTTGAAGATACAGTAATGAACCACTGATTGCCCCTTCATCCCTGGAAACGTTGTCTGTCTCAGGCCACAGTTTTACTTTGCCTAATGCTGGGCATAGTGAGTAAATGAATCAATTAATCAATAAATAATGTCTTCTATGGGGTGTGAGGCATGTCTGTCATATTTGGGGGTCCAGCCCAGCTCAAATAAGTGTGCAATTTTTGAAAAATGTCCAGAAGTGTCCTCTAAATGGTTGAGAAGGGCATGCAGTTGTTCCATAATGGTTAAGATAAATCACATGCTTTTTCAGTTAGTTTTGACTTCAGATTTCTTTTCCTCACAGAGCCAACAGAGAACTGGACAAGTGGGCAACTTCTTCCATCATGGAAATCATAGAAGGATGCGTATCACTTCCACTTCAGCTCTACAAATTCAGCTTACATTTTACAACCTGCTTCTTATCACCAGTCATTCCTCTATAAACGCTATTATTTGCTGAGTGCTCTCTCGTCACATTGTGTCTTTCCTTTGCTAAGCCACCTACTTAAAATATAAATGTATTTGTGAAGCTTTCAAATTGTCTTCTGTTTTTTTTTTCATATCACATTCTTCTGAAACAAAATCAAGATAGAGAAGCATATGTTTTAATTTTTAAAAACCCTACCATGACATATTTCTGTGACTTGGAAGAGAATTTGGGGGGGGGGGGTGGTATTTTCACCTCTTAAACACTCAAAAATCCATGACTTTCTGCTTAAGCTTTGGTGATGCTTACGAAAACCTCCTTTTTCCTCATACATGGTTGATGTTTTACTGTGTCCATTACTAGATTGCAGCTTCTATCATTGCCTATATTGGCTAGGTTTGAGGAGAGGTACTATTTAATAGCAAATGGAGAAGTGCATGCTGTTTACCCTTTCCATAAATGTTTGAGAAGAGAGTGCATTAAAGGATATTTGATTGCCCAAGGGCTGTATCTACCCCAGGCATGGGCGAACCTTTTTACATTGGGGCAACATTGCAGGGAGAGTTATGTGTTTGATCCCCATTTTAACTTCTACGGCTCAAGGCTATGTAGTTGTAGTTTTTGGAGGTATTTAGCCTTCTCTACCAAAGAGTGCAGGTACATGACACGCAGCTGCCCAGGGCTCTTGGGAGAGCCCTGGGTAGCCACATGTGACTTCAGGGCCTGCCTCTCAGCAGGAGACACGGCAGTCTGCAGCGCACTCTTGCCAAGAGGAGGATGTAACATGCAGCTGCATAGAGCTCTCAGGAGAGCTCTGTGCAGCCACATGCGATTATGGAACCAGAGGAAATAGCCCAATGGGTCGCATCTGGCCTCGAGCCAGAATTTACCCATGCCTGATCATGTCAAACTAGTGCTTGGAAGTAATGGAAGTTAAAGTGGTGTCAAACCTGGAAGAACATAAGAATATACCACTAATGACAAGACCAGTTAAGCTTCTATTGCCTGAAGGATGGCAATTCCTTTGGTGCAGAAAATGTAAAAATGGGATGTGCACAAAGTGAATTAGTCAGTCCTGGGGTATGAACAAGATAGGTTCTGTAGGTTTGTTCTTAAGCCGAATTTGTAAGTTGCAACAGGAGCATTTATAAGGATAAAGCCTATTTTTAAAAACGTTTTGGATAGCATCGGGAAGGCTTAACACTCCTGTAAAGTTTCTTTTTCTGTCTGTGCCCAGACTTCACCTCACTTTCTGTCCCTGTAGCAATTGGATGTTGGATGTTGAAAATGTTGGCTTGTCATAGAAACAAGAACTGGTGATAAAGCTTCTGTGGAGAAACACATTTTCCATGATAAGTCTTTCAGGAGTGAATTTCCCTTCCTAGAGGTAAATTTCCTCATCTCTACGGAGTTGGATGGGATGTAATGAGATCGGTGATAGGACTTTCATGTCATGTAGCTCATGGGAGGCTGTAGTGGGGGTATTACCCACAGATCACTGTGGTCCATCCAATTCAGACTCTTCTTGCCTTCTTCCCATTCCATGATCAATCCATCAAGCACGCTCCTATCACAGTAAGAATGAAGACCAGCGAACTGGACCAGAGAACATGCTTTATTGAGAAGTAGATACTGGTAGCATATTCTAACATCCAAGAAACTGAGATATTTGCTTCTGTACAAGAATGGCCAATTTCAAACACATGCTCAGTGGTGATAGCAGCTTGGTTTGACAGAATGGCATGAAAACCTGTGCGGCGGGATGGAGCTGGGTGCCAAGCTGAAGTAAAGAGGAGGAAGAATTATGCCATCCCCATATATGAAATTTGGGGGGGAAATCATTTAGGAAGTCTGTCTCAAAAAGTAGCCTGCACACTCTGAAAAGCCAGAAGCAGGTTGTCTTACCCAAAAGGCATATTCCTAAATGCAAAACTTTGGCAGAAACTAGAGATATATTCCATCATGCTCAAAATGCATAGAGGTGGTCAGCTGGACTTTTAACTTTTCAGCCATTATAGATAAAACACAAGTTTCAAAGTCTAAAGTGACAGCCTCCAAGCAGGCCAAGCAAACGCTCTAGTACTGATTCGTGGATTGAGATGCTGGACTCTCAAATCTTTACTCCTGCCCTATGCAACTATAAAGATGGAGAAAAACATGGCCCATTTGCAGGAGGAAAGAGAGGAACTTCCTTATCCTCTCTAAGGAAGCTGACAGGCTCCAAAGAGAGGTTAAGTGGGGAAAACGTTTGCTGGAGCAGACAGTGAGAGAAAGGAAGCTTGGCAAAGTCCTGGACAAACCCCATAACCAAGCAATGTACCCAATTTGAAAACCGGTACAAGCACTTTGCCACAACACTGGTCTCAACAATACATGAGCTGCCCCTGAAGGAGGTCTACATGGGAGGATGAGGATCAATACCTCGTGGACTTAGAGGGAGCCCTTTCGGCAACCATAAATGTTTTGGCCAAAGCCTTGATAGAACCAAGCCTGGCCAAAGAACTAGAGAAAACCGCCTGAGAAATGGATGAGGAGCTGCTCAGGACTTTTTCAGTAGTGGTGGGTCTTTCTGCGGACATCAGCAAAGCAACCTTGCCCCAGATCCAGAGGGCCTGAGGAAGTGATGGGTCTGGTCAATGTCAAGTAGTTTGTTTTCAACTAGGCTTTTCCATTGGTCACTCAGATGTTTCTTCTCCTATCCTCCTAAACTTGTTTGAAGTAATTCTCCTCACAAAGGAGAATACCACCCCTCCATTTGCCAGAATCTAGATGTTAAGTTTGATAGATGTTAGCACATAAAGACAAACTTTGTCGGATTTTGGGTGAAAAGAGAACACGGGAGCCAAAAAAACAAGAGGCAACCACTGGAATATTTCCAAAAGGATCAGTACTAGACAAAGATGGGCTTTCCCATCTTGTTGCAAGATGGGGAAAACAAAAAAAAATCCCTTTTTTGTTATTTTGAAAGAAGTCCACTTTTAAACAGTGCAGTTTTACATATGCTTCTACTGCCAGGAGTTACTCTACAGAGGCTAAAGGAATGACTACCATGTCTCCCAAAGGCCAGGGATGAAAGGAGTTTCCTCTAACATTATATATTTTTTAAAAATATTTCTACACTGTTTGGAAATGAATGATGTGCAAGTCACATCCAATTGCCTTAAGGCATACTGAAAAGAGAGTAAAAAGTTGAGAGAGGTTACTGTTGGGGATAGTAACTACTTTAGTTTAACTGCCATCTTAAATTACTGGCTTGGTTAAAGAATTCTACAAGCTGTAATCCAAACGAAACTTCTAATTTTGAAACACATTTCACTCTCTTGCCAGATATTTTCAAGGTCTCATACCAAGGGAATTTTATAGGAGATAATTAGCCAAGAGGTGCTGGATAGGTGCAAGATGGGATTTTGTGGCTTATAGTTGTGAGGCATGTGACCTCACCAGGTACCTGTGCATGTTAATTAACACACTGTGGCTCTTGCTGCTATATAGAACACCTCAGCATTAAGGCTTCTAGGCCCTGAATTCCCAATGCTGGAGTCAGAGTACAATTACGTAATGCATTTGTGGTCCTGCAAAGAAGGAATAAATTTCATACTGGTGATCAGTGTGAGTTTGAGTCTAATTTATTCAGGAACTTTCTGGATTTAGTCATTTCAATGAACAGTTAAAGAAGGGTACTAGACTGAGTTTTAATTTTGCCTTTTTTCTACTTAATTTTGAAGGTAACCTGTAGCCCTCTAGCTGTTACTAGACCGAAACCAATCGTCTCTCATCACTGGCTAGGTCAGATGAGAACTGACTTAAATTGCAATTTACCCATCCTCTCCTTGAGATCACAACATACCCACCCATACCTTGAAGCTAATTGAGTTTAATACTTATATTGCCAAATGAATGCCAAGAACTTTGGTATTTAAGAATTCCTCGCATAATAGTCGCACCCATAGTTCACTACAAAAGATTCCATCTCTTCCTGTTTCTCCTCTGTCAGTCACTCAAGGGAGAGACCAAGATCAAACTGATGCACTAAGTTAGTGGTTCTCAACCTGTGGGCCCCCAAGTGTTTTGGCCTACAGCTCCCAGAAATCCCAGCCAGTTTGCCAGCTGTTAGGATTTCGAGGAGCTGAAGGCCAAAACATCTGGGGCCCCAAACACACACACACTTTTGAAAGCCTTGGTCCCATTGTAGGTTGCTACTGAAGAACTGTTTATTCAACTGTCGAATTGAGTATTTGGTAAAAAATATTGTTGGTCTGAGTGAATAGAAAAGCATCTAGAACAGTGGTTCTCAATATGTGGGTCCCTAGATGTTTTGGCCTTCAACTCCCAGAAATCCTAACAGACTTTATCACTTTCTTCTGCTCCATATGTGCACTAGAGCTATATGATGCTGCAGTGGAAGCAGCAGCTTGAAAGAACAAAAAACAAGTGTAGGATACAACACAACCTTTTGGACTATGCCCATGTGGCTAAGGAAGCAGCAAATGGAAAGGGCCAGGACAAGGTATTACTGTTCACCCACCACTCTTGGGGTCACACTAACAGGATATCCAGATCAATTCAGCACTGCCCTGTGTACAGAGTATGTGGGTCAAAACATTCCCAAGAAGGGGATTTCCTGGAAATATGTGAAAGGAAGGGGGCTGGGATGAACATCAATGGCACGTCCACAATCCCAAAGGCAGTTGGTAACGCTGGGAAAGGAAAGAGGATCATGAAGTGGGTGGCGTCACATGGAGGGGTGTCCACACTCCTTGGAGCGATAGATCAAGTTAAGTGCCCTTGGGAGGGGTCCATTTCAAACAGCTGGGATCCATGCTTTTATTGCTGTTGGATCGTTTGGCCTCTTTGGCTATCCATTCATCAATAAGATCCTGAAGAGAGGGAAAAATAAGAAAATGGTGTAGGTTAAAAGCTTGGGCATAGTTTTCAACAAAAGACAGATCTGCCCTATTCGAGAGATCCATGTCTGGAAAACCAGACAGATAATTATGCAACAGAATTAACAGCTATAGTTTCATTAACAAATAAAAAATGGTGTAATTCCCAAAAGATGTTGTGAGACTCTAGCTCCATTATCACAGCCAAATGGTCAGGAATAATGAGAACTGATGTATTCACCACAAAGCATAATATTGTGAACTCATAATCATGCATCTCTGGTACCCTTACAAAAGCACCACTGGCAAGATTATAATAAAACTTGTATCTTACTATTGGCCAGATGGTTCAAAGCGAACGCAGTTCAGTTTGACCAACTGCTAAGTAAACCCTTGCCAAGTAAAAGACGGATTTCCCTTGATAAATCATCAAATTATCATGGATTCCATGGATCTGCTCTATGTTTTACTGCAACCCTTCGGAGCATGGAGGGAAGAGTTGTACAGTTGGGTGAACTGCCCCACTCCCCCCGGATCGCTTTTCCCTCTGAGCACCTAGATTTGGCATCCTTAAACTATGGCCCTCTAGCCTTTGGGCCTCCAACTCCCAAAATCCCTGACCACTGAGCAATCTGATTAGCGCTTCTAAGAGTTATAGGTCCAAACAGCTGGAGGATCACAATTTGAGGATGCCTGTTCTATATGCTTGACCAAGGGCAACACTCCATAGCTCAGAGAGAAGAGGCAGTCGGGTGTCTTATAATATAAGACCCATGAACTATGGGTGCGACTATTATGCGAGGAATTCTTTTTTCTTTTTTTGTCAATTTTCAATTTCTAGCATTTAATATGCTCAAATTAGTTTTCAAATCACAGATTCCAAACTTTGAGGAATTCTTACATTACAAAACCGGGACTCCCATAATTATACGACTATTATGCGATAGCAACTATTATGTGATGAAATACAGGTAGTTTCCCTATTCATGAGCTGGTATCCCAATGAGTTCCCCTTTCCTTTTATTTGTCATAGCTTGATAAACATACCTTTTAGGACTATGATCAAGTATGCTAGTTCAGAGATTCACTGCTAAATGGTCAGGAATTATGGGAGCTGGAGGCTCAAACAGTTAGAGAATGCCTGATCTAGGAGCTCAGAGGAAAAAGCAATTGGGTGGGGGTGGGTTCACCCACCCATGATCCAAGGCAATCCCCTGGAGCAGGGGTAGGGAACCTTTGGCCCTCCAGCTGTGGTGGACTTCAACTCCCACAATTCCTTGAGGCTCGGCATTCGCCCCAAAGGCTTACCTTGGCCCAATGCCGAGCCTCAAGGAATTGTGGGAGTTGAAGTCCACCACAGCTGGAGGGCCAAAGGTTCCCTACCCCTGCCCTGGAGCATAGAGGGGAGAGGCATGTGGGCGGGTGAGCCTTCATCTGCCTGTGCCTCCTAACAAGGGCTGCAGGGCTTCCCTTTGCTGACGGCAGCCAAGGGAGGTCTATTAGCTCTAATCGGCAGACGTGTGGGTAACTTTGCAGTTACAGGACTCCCCTCAGCTGGCAGACAAGAGAAGACTCTTTTTACAAAAAAAAGAAAATCCTTGCATAATAGTCGCACCCCCTGCCCCCCAAAGGCAATAAAAATGCAACTATTATGCTATGAAATACAGAATTTGAATGTTGTTTCATGCAGCCACCTGTGGTATCTACATATTGAAAGTATAATTAACTTCTCTCTAATGAAGCGTTGCAGCTGGTTTGGGGGCTTGGGGTTCTCCAGCAGTTGAGCTATCAATACTCATCGTCCCTGGCACATTGCTACTGACTGGGGGCTGTTGGAAGTTTCAGCTCAATGTTTGGAAAACCTGGAGTTGCCAACCCCTTGCCGAGAGAGGGAAAAAAGGCAAACTCTGGCTTTTCACCTTCAGCACATCGAGGACAGAAAACTCATTCTCAGCAATGAGAAGAATTTTCTCAAAGAAAAATGGAGTACACAATTCATACACAATGCTAACCCAAGCAAGGATACCGAATCATAGCAATTAGGCACATCCTTACCTGTCTCTTCAAAACCAGATGTTTGCCTTTCCAATACTTGAGCATCTGAAGCGCCTGCAGAGTGCTAACAATGTCAACAGGATTGACAGCTGTTTCCTGGCTGATTTCTGAAAGAGAAATACAGGAATATATTCATTTTTCAGTCAGCAAGGAATCTACCATATACCTGGCATAAACTGCTGGAGTTATTCCATTATCTCAGACAAAGTCGCTTTGATCCGCTCTGGAATGGATACCATGTTAACGGCAGTATCTGAGGATGTAACACGAGCATCTGCTTGTCCGGTTTTGATGGATTCATTTCAATTGGTTCAATCCGAGGATGTGGACAAGGTGCTTGGAGGAATGAGAGCTACCACATGCATCCTAGACCCCTGCCCATCCTGGCTTCTAAAGGAGGCTAGAGGGGGATTGGCCAAGTGGGTGAAGGTGGTGGTTAATGCCTCCCTTCGGGAAGGCAAAATTCCAGCCAGCTTAAAGCAAGCTGTGATAAAACCGCTGTTGAAGAAACCATCACTGGACCCCACTCAATTCGTCAACTATCGGCCTGTTTCCAATCTCCCCTTTTTGGGCAAAGTCATGGAACGTGTGGTGGCCTCACAACTCCAGGCATTCTTGGTAGACACGGATTATCTGGATCCGGCACAGTCTGGCTTTAGGCCGGGGCCTGGTACCGAGACAGCCTTGGTCGCCTTAGTGGATGATCTGCGTCGGGAGCTCGACAGGGGGAGTGTGTCCCTGTTGGTGCTGCTCGACCTCTCAGCGGCCTTCGATACCATCGACCACGGTATCCTTCTGGGACGCCTCGCGGGGATGGGTCTTGGAGGTACTGTTTTGCAGTGGCTCCGCTCATTCCTCGAGGGTCGGTCTCAGAAGGTGTTACTGGGAGACTCCTGTTCAACCCCACAACCTTTGTCTTGTGGGGTTCCTCAGGGTTCAATACTGTCTCCCATGTTGTTTAACATCTACATGAAGCCGCTGGGCGAGATCATCCGGAGTTTGAGTGCGATGTCATCTGTACGCAGATGATGTCCAACTCTGTCACTCCTTCCCACCTGCTACTAAGGAGGCTGTCGAGGTCCTGAACCGATGCCTGGCCGCTGTTACGGTCTGGATGGGGGCGAACAAATTGAAATTGAATCCAGACAAGACAGAGGTACTCCTGGTTAGTCGCAAGGCCGAACAGGGTATAGGGTTACAGCCTGTGTTAGATGGGGTCGCACTCCCCCTGAAGACACAGGTTCGCAGTTTGGGTGTGATCCTGGACTCATCGCTGAGCCTGGAACCCCAGGTTTCGGCGGTGACCAGGGGAGCATTCGCACAGTTAAAACTTGTGCGCCAACTGCGACCGTACCTTGGGAAGTCTGACTTAGCCACGGTAGTCCACGCTCTGGTTACATCCCGCCTTGACTACTGCAACGCTCTCTACGTGGGGTTGCCTTTGAAGACAGCCCGGAAGCTCCAATTAGTCCAACGGGCGGCAGCCATGATACTAACAGGAGCGGGGCGCAGGGAGCACACAACTCCTCTGCTGCACCAGCTCCACTGGCTGCTGATATGCTACCGGGCTCAATTCAAAGTGCTGGCGTTGGCCTTTAAAGCCCTAAACGGTTCTGGCCCAACTTATCTATCCGAACGTATCTCAGCCTATCAGCCCACCAGGACACTAAGATCTTCTGGAGAGTCCCTGCTCTCTATCCCGCCGGCTTCCCAAGCGCGGCTGGCGGGAACGAGAGACAGGGCCTTTTCTGTGGTGGCCCCTCGGCTTTGGAACACCCTCCCTATAGAGGTACGATCAGCCTCTCGCTGATGGTGTTTCGGAAGAGATTGAAAACATGGTTGTTTAAACAAGCATTCGGTTAATCCGTTGCAATTGAATCTTGATGACTAAAGGATTGGTAATCATAGATGACGAATTCTGGATTATGATTTTAGCTCGAGATGCATGGGATTATTATTGGTGGCCCAATAATTTGTATTGCATGTGTGTATGTTTTAAATTGGAGACTGTTTTTAATTGTTGTAATCCGCAATGAGTCGCCGACCTAGGCTGAGATATTAGCGGTATACAAGTGAATAAAATAAATAAATAAATTACAGTATTTATTTATTTATCGTGTCAGGAGCAATCAGACATTTGTATTACATTTTTAACAAAACAAACAAATAAACAGACAAAACACAAAGTTTGCAAGCTTGGTAGTTGATTAAATGTCCTTTGACCAGTAGCTGGCCACTTGGGCCTCTGGTGTTGCTGCAAGAAGCATTGTGCATGCGGCAGGGCTCAGGTTGCATTGCAGTAGGTGGTCACTGGTTTGCTTTTCTCCACACTCGCATGTCGTGGATTCCACTTTGTAGTCCCATTTCTTAAGGTTGGCTCTGCATTTCGTGGTGCCAGAGCACATTCTGTTCAGCGCCTTCCAAGTTGCCCAGTTTCCTGTGTGCCCAGGGGGGAGTCTCTCATTTGGTATCAGCCATTGGTTGAGGTTTTGGGTTTGAGCCTGCCACTTTTGGACTCGCGCTTGCTGGGGTGTTCCAGCGAGTGTCTCTGTAGATAGCTCTGGCTTTAATAACTAACACAAGATAATCAGGATCAAATGTGTCATATGATGATTCTACATAGGCAGAAAAAAGCAGTTTCCTTATCATTATGACTGCAAAATGAGGCGGAAAGCAAATAGATGAAGCAAGCCAAATCTAGAAAGACAGAGGAAAAGGCTGAACAGAATTTCCTGTGGTCAGGAACTAAGTGTCTCCCACATTTTCACGCCTACATGCATAGTGAAGTTGAATGAATTGTGCAGAACCAAACAAATGTGAATTTTATAGTTAGGACAAAAGTGGCAGGGCCCAATTATGAATTGTTATCTGGCATGAGAACAGGAGGTTGAGAATGCCTCCTCCAAGATGGTGCTGGCCAATAGTTTTCAGAAGCACTTCCATGAAAAAAGAATTACTGCCCAATCAAATCAGGGGCATCTTTTGATCAAAATGTTTTCCTTTTTCAGTTTAGTCATGTAGAAGATGACTAAACAGCTTTACATATAAGACCATTCTGACTCTTTCTGTATTTCTCTAAGTTAGAGAGATGGTGTCTCCAAGAAATAAAGGATCAGTTTACTTGTCAACTTTCCAACTGTGTGTAGCCCTGAGGCCCAGAGCAGCCTTAAGTTCCATTCATACTTAAGCAGGGTCATAAGCACCCCAAAATCATCTTGCTTTTCCCTTGCCTATGATGCCTTCTCCTGTGATGGGAGACAGGATGATGAGGAGGGAGAAGCTTCCATTCTGTAGAGACCTGATAGGATCAGGCCTTTATTCATTTTGCAGGGAAAGAAAAAATGTTGGAGTAACTGAGACTTTGATCACTTCATTCACAACTAACTACACATTAGGTTACAATTACTTATTCTCCATCATTTTCATGTTACTTGAAGAAATCCACATTGGCTGGTAAGTCCTGGGAAGAGGATAGTTATTGGGAGAGAGACAAAAGCTCAGAGACTTAAGAACAGATACAGAGTGTTGTTGAAAGCTTTAATGGCCAGAATCACTGTGTTGCTGTGAGTTTTCCGGGCTGTATGGCCATGTTCCAGAAGCATTTTCTCCTGATGTTTCACCCACATCTATAGCAGGCATCCTCAGAGGACCGTTGGAAACTAGACCTGCCCAGGGTGGGAGAAAGAACTCTTGTCTGCTTGTGGCAAGTGTGAATGATGCAATTGCCACTTTGATTAGCATTTAAAGAAGGAAACCATGAAAATGAACAAAATATGGCTACCAGTATTTAAAAAAACTCTAAAATCAGGACAGTTAAAAAAGAGCAACACTAAAACAACAGGGGAATTCCAGACAAGAATCAATCAGGGCCAGCTAACACCTCCCAACAAAGGATTCTCCCATGCAGCAATCAGCCACTCTTTGAATCTGGAAGGCCATTCAATGCTAATTAAGGAGGCCAACTGCAACATTCACACTTGACTTAAGCAGACAAGATTTTTTTCTCCCACCTTGGGCATTCCACAGATATATATACCTCTCTTGCCTAGTTTCCTACAGATCTCACAACCTCTGAGGATGCCTGCCAGATGTGGACGAAATTTCAGGAGAGAATGTTTCTGGAACATGGCCATACAGCCTGGAAAACTCACAGCAACCCAACCATTAGAGTTTAGATGAAAAATATTCATACTTTTAATCATTGGAGATCCTGCTCAGCTCTCTAATTTCTTGGACTAAAAAAAAAGATGTTTAATCCTGTTGTAACAGGGAGGTATGCAAGACCTTATTTCATGCCACTAGTATGAATTAAATCACAGTAAAGCAGGCTGTTGTTTACACACAGAGGCAGTTTACTGTTTGCATGCAATGAATTAGGATTTAGAGTACCTGAGTTTTCTGTCTAAACGTAATTAACAATAAACAGAAAAGCTACAACTAGGAAGATAAAACTTAGTCACAATTTGGAGGAAGGAGTGTGGAATTTAAAAAAGACAGATGCAATTTGCTGGTGATATAGAAAAAAAATGAAGAGCTAACCTTTGATGGAGATTTCTTTGCCTTGAAAGTTATGCAGATAACGGAGAAGAACCTCCTTCCAGTAACTACGGTAGCTAATAAGACCCAGATCTGAAAGCGGTCGCTCTGGGGAACCAACCTTCTCTTCCACTTTTGATAGTAAGTAGCCTATTAAAGAGAACAAAACAAATTCTCTGAGACTGAATTAGAATTAGAACCTACCTCTCAAAGACAGATTGAATGGATGCCTTAGTTCAGTAGTTCTCGACCTGTGGGTCCCTAGATGTTTTGACCTTCAATTCCCAGATATCCTAACAGCTGGTAAACTGGCTGGGATATCTGGGAGTTGTCAGCCAAAACATCTGGGAACCCGCTGGTTGAGAACCACTGTCTTAGTGCATCATCACTACAGATGTCAAATACATTGCCTATTCTATATGCAAGTATTGTTGTTGTTTAATTTGTTTTGGTTTTTTTGTTAAAATTTTAATTAAAATATTGAAAAAATAGTGAGGACAAAACACATCCTGTGTTCACCGGGATTAGGTAAACACAGAAACATTTGTTGTCCAATTTGGTAAACAATCAAAACTGCAGCTTGCTACATGAAAAAGTCCAGGCAAGTGAACATATATAAAGAACATAAACATGTATATTCACATGCAAATAAATATGCACAGACACACATAGCTTTTAAAAATTAGGCAGTGTATTCATACCATGTAGGAGAAGGGCTCTTGTTCATGTATTCTGAACAAGAAACAGGAATTTGTTCCAGAGCTACAACGATGGCAGAGATGAAACAGAGACCGTTTATCTTGCTATACTATTTCATACTAGACACTACCCATCTTAGAGTCCCTCAGTGGTGCAGCAGGTTAAATCGCTGAGCTGCTAAACTTACTGACCAAAAGATCAGTGGTTCGAATCAAGGGAGCAGCATGAGCTCCCGCTGTTAGCTCTAGCTCCTGCCAACCTAGAGTTCGAAAACATGTAGATGTGAGTAGATCAATAGGTATTGCTTTGGCAGGAAGGTAACGGTGCTCCAAGTAGTCATGTTGGCCACATGAACTAGGAGGTGTCTACAGACAATGCCAGTGCTTCGGATTAGAAATGGAGATGAGCACCACTCCCCTGAGTCAGACACAACTAGACTTAATGTCAAGGGGAAACCTTCACCTTTACCTTACCCGTCCTAAGTATGAGGTGAGATGCAGTGATGTACAATGACAGACACAGGAAAAACATGTCCTTCCACTCCAAATGTCTTGTCCTCCATTTTCCTCTATATGTTGTCTGTTTTATATGATATATAAACCATATCTTAAATGGCTCTTCACTAAAGAAACAGCAGGCAGTGTCACACATTCTGTCTTTCTGGTTCCTACACCTTCACTTTTCTTTCTCTCTAAGACCATCAATACTGTGTAAGCTCACAAGCAGTTTTTTTTTATTCTTTTGCAGTTTTCCTTTGAATTTACAAACCTGTATGTCTGTTACTGCCAAATACCCAGAAAGTCAGCTGGGTATGCAGAAAACATTAACTTATTTTTGGGAAGCTCTTCTATACCAATCAGCACTCAGCCACCTGATTTTGATATCAGAAATATGTTGCTATAACTACTTGCATATGGTAACTTTGAGAATTTGGAAATATGCCAGTACTACACACTTTTTAAAAAGAGCTCTAATTCACCACAGAGAGAATGAGAATTCTGTTTCTCACAGCATTCATTACTTCAGCATGCCCTTTCAAGAGGTTTATGTGCAATCACTCAAGAAGAAACTCACATGTCTGTTAAAATGCAGGCAAACTGTAGCTCATAGGCCACAAAAGCCCCTTCCCCTCCCTGGAGGTGATACTGTGCCTCCTACCACAGCCTGCCATCCCATCCCAGGGTTCATACTTGGGACCAGGTGTGGTGCAGCTAGTTAGTAGCCAGCTGCATTAAATCACTACTGATGGAGACATCATGAGTTCAAAGCCAGCCCAGTTCAGAGTAAGCTCCTGACCATTAATAGCTTGCTGTTGACCTATGCACCCCAAAAGACAGTTGCATCTGTCAAGTAGGAAATTTAGGTACTGCTTTACACGGGGAGGCTAATTTAACTAATTTACAGTGCCATAAAACTTTCCAGCAGTGTGCAGAAGAATGAGGACGTACTCCATCAAAGGACTTGGTGTCACAAGTGGACAGTGAAGCGGCAGCTCCCCTATGATGTGAACCAAGCATACCTTCATGAAGCCAGAAAAAACTTGGGCACAGTTGAAATGTTAAATTGCCTCTGTTTCTGTCTATATATGTTGTATGTCTAAATGGCATTGAATGTTTGCCATGTGTATGTGCATTGTAATCGAGTCCCCTGCGGGGTGAGAAGGGCGGAATATAAATACTGTAAATAAGGAAGTAAATAAATAAATAAATGATACTTACTGAAGTCAATAAGCATTTTGCCGTAACCCTGTCTCATATACTGAGGCATCGTCAGGATACAAGAAACGTTGTAGTTAAGGAATGAGTTCTTTTCCTGAAAGCAGATGGTATGTCTTGTTATGAGAATATCCCACTTCATAGCAAAAGCATGATAGGGAATGATTTTTATGCTAAGCAAAACATGATAGCCACAATCTAAAAAAGGACAATAGTTCTGCATGTCTAAGAAGCCACTACCCCTCTACTTTTCCATAATCAACAATCAGTTGGTCCTGGTTCCATTGGAGAAAGAATTAAACCTTAATTGGTTGTGGGTGGTCCTTTTCCAAAATGCCTACCAGTATGATGCATGGATTTCAGGTGATTTGTATTGGAAATGTCAAAAGTACGAAATACAGTGAGCAATCGTAATGTTAACATCTGTCTCGTCTGTAATAAGATGCCCAGACAAAACTGGGAATAGCTACTTTTCCGAAATACTTTGCATACCAGTTTCCTAAGCAACACTGACATGTCAGTGTTCACGCTACAATTAATTCTTCTAATAGGTTCAGTGCTCTCAGGCATACAATGAATCATGCCTGAATCCCTTTCTTCATTTTTACATCTTCTACGTTAGAGCCCTTGCGATGATTACCATGTGAAAAGGTGCATCTCGCCAACTCTACTTACTGGCCTGAATTCACTATTGTCATTGCTGATCAATACAGCACACTATTCAGTACTGTCTACACGTTGCTCAAGCTTCCTACTCTGATTTCAGAAGAAAAACCAAATGTGTCTCTGAAGCTGGAAAAATTAATTGTGCATCACATATTACGGGTTCTGGCCAATGTATTTATTTATCGTGTCAGAAGCAAATTGAGAATACAGCTATAATGTATAGAAAAAACACAAACGAAGTTAAAAACTTGGCATTATACTAAATTTTCTTTGTCCAGAAGCTGGCTACTTGGGAGTGCCTCTGGTTTCGCTGTGAAAAGGTTCTCCATTGTGCATGTGGCAGGGCTCAGACTGCATTGTAGTAACTGGTCTGTGGTTTGCTCTTCTCCACACTCACATGTCGTGGACTCCACTTTGTAACCCCATCTCTTAAGGTTAGTTCTGCATCTTGTGGTGCCAGAACGCAGTCTGTTTAGCACCTTCCAAGTCGTCCAGTCTTCTGTGTGCACAAGAGGGAATTTCTCATCCAGTATCAAACACTGATTGATGTTCCAGGTTTTAACCTGCCACTTTTGGACTCTTGCTTGCTGAGGTGTTCCTGGGAGTATCTCTGTAGATCTTAGGAAGCTACTTCTTGATTTAAAGTGTTGGCTTGCTGGCTGATATTGGTACAGGGGAAGGGCTGGAGATGTCAGATGGTGCAATACCGGCTAAACAGTATAATTTCTCCAGTGGTGAAGGGCATAGATATCCTGTGATAATGTGGCTGCTGAGGCATTATCATCTGCAAGGGCCTGAAAGAACTGTGATGTCTTGTCTTCTCCACACACACTCACTCCAATGCCATGAGCAGCATCTCTGTCCTCAACTCTTCCCACAACAAAAGCTTATCCTCAGTTATCCACTGATCAGAAGAATGAAATGACAAGAGCTAGGCCCCCAGAATCAAGCATTGGGATTAGTGTTCCTGAGCAATTCCTCAATGGCTAGGATGGCCCTTGAGATACAGAGCATTATTTTCATGTATTCTCCTTCATAATGAAAAAGAGTAAAATTGCTTTTAAAATGAATGTTTTGAAACTGTTCCTATAAGTCAAATGAAAACAAGACAAAATTATGTCTTGGCATCATCGATTTATGGCTTGAACAACATGTGGAAAGGAGAGTTCACAGAGTCACACTGTATTTCACAGCTGAGCTCTCACCCTTCAGTCCTCTGTTCAGACGCATATCTTTGTTATGCCTGTCTCACCTCTGTATCTATTGATTTAAATTTTTAGATCCTGGTTCAGTATGTGTAACAAAGGCAGCATCCTCTGAAAACATTTGAGCAGCAATAGTACCAAATACATTTGCTTTTAACAGCAAGATGGGGGAGAGGGGATTCTGTTTCTTCAGAATCTGAGGGATATTTGCCCAGAAAAGGGATGGTTTTGCATCGGAAGAAGCTGTCACAATCCGAGTCATGATTGTTTGGCGAGTAACAATCTTGAGAAAAAGATTCATAGTGGCACTCTGCTCTGTCAGTTTGGAAGCAGAAAGAGATGAAATCATACTAATGATTTCCCTTTGATCAAGAAGCCTTGCTTTTCAATACTTCCTGAACTCTGTCTGTCCAGTACTACATGATTTTTAGGGGTTTTGGCTGGCATTATATTATTAAGAGACATACACAAAATTTCCCTTACATATGTATGTCCTTCTTTGGCATGGAAGGGAATGGAATTGCAATCCTTCCTTTAAAGCAACTAACACCACCCTCTCAACCTACTACACATGCACACACTCACATTCACACCATCTCCTGTTTTGTGGGAAGAAGCCAAAAGTAGGGAAGCATCTCCCCATGATGTCATCAGCACAGAGGTTCACTAAGGTTCTCTGGAGGCCTCAGTACCACACACTCATTTTTCATTTGGCTGTGAGGATGCAGACTGATACCTTTGCCATTCTGCCTGCTCTTCGTGAAGCAAGGAATGGCTGTTCACTTTTCTTCAAATGTCAATATATGGGAATGAGGGGCAACATCGGTAAGTAAACTTAAGGTGTGATGAAGGAGCAAGAGAGGACAGCAATTGCAAGTGGCTCCTGGCACTTAGTTGCCAAAACCTGAATAATCCTAGACTGGATTTTTTAAAACTAAGTCATGATTTGGTGTTAGCTTCATGTTCTGATTTTCAATTATTCAAGTAAAATGTATTATGTAAAAGATGAATACAATAACATTCCAGAAGCGAATTCTCACTTTGATCATAGTACTCCAAGAAGGCCTAACACACATGTAGAGAAAAAGGGTAAATGCCAACACTTTCCAATATCCACGTGTCACCTGAATGACCACTTTGGGGAACAGTCACCCAGAACCAAACCAGGCCAAATTCATGTTGTCCCCTCTACCTTATTTTGGTCACCATGGAAAGCATTAATCTGCCTCAGATGTGAAGTACCTATATACTCGAGTATAAGCCTACCCGAATATAAGCCGAGGCACCTAATTTTACCACAAAAAACTGGGAAAACGAATTGACTCGAGTATAAGTCAAGGGTGGGAAATGCAGCAGCTACTGGTAAATTTCAAAATAAAAATTGATATCAATAAAATTACATTAATTGAGGCATCAGTAGGTTAAATGTTTTTGAATATTTACATAAAACTGTGATTTAAAGTAAGACTGCCCAATTCTGATTAAACTATTATTCTGATTTTCTTCCATGTAAATGTGCTTATGTATCCTTCCGATAATAATGAGAGTAAAATAATAAATCTAATAAAAATAATAGAGTAAAATAATCAATGTAATAATAACAACAATAATGAAGTAAAATAATAAATATAAAAAGAGTAAAATAATAAATGTAATAATAATAATAATAATAATAGAGTAAAATAATGTAATATTAAGAATAAGAATAGAGTAAAACAAAAAATAATTTTGACTCAAGTATAAGTTGAGGGAGGCATTTTCAGCCTTTAAAAGGGGCTGAAAAGTTCGGCTTATACTAGAGTATGTACGGTAATTATGCATAAGATCTTCAGCATATCCATCATGAAGCCTTGATTTTACGAACACTGTTTTCATATGTGTTCTAATATGTGGAATGGTGAATATCCTGCACCTCAAAAATTTCTGACTGTGACATTGACAACAAAGTTTAATTTCTTAAATTAAATCCCCTAGTCAGGTTGAATTTGTTTCTGAGATCAAACAAGTCTGTTCTCATACTGGATTGCCTGAAACAACTCTTAGATTGAGTTAGTGCTTTGCTTTTCAACTTCGCAGAATGGTGCAGGGTACACAAAAACACAAAACCTGCCAATTTCAGGAGCAGAGATGAATCCTCCTGACATGATGCAAAAAAAAACAAAAAACAGCCCCACTGTTGATTTGACATAAAAAAACACATTATAGTAATTACCTTTCCTATAGAACAAATCTCAGGCAGTTATCACTAACCTTGGAAAAATAGCCTATCAGATGGCAGCCAGTGTTGTCTGCTTCTGTCATGACATAGAAGAGAAAGGGCTCAACATCATAGTATAGAGTCTTGTGGTCTAAGAATAGCTTTGCCAAAAGGCACAGGTTCTGGCAATAGATCTGGAAGGAACAGAAGAGACACTCACACACCAAATGACCAGGAGGCAGCAAAATATTCAATCATTTGTCACAAGGCAGAACCACTGTAAAGTATTCCACAAGATATATGGATCGTTACGAGAAAGGATTAAAGATTAAATTGTGACCACATCAATTGAAGAGCAACCACCAGTCTTCAGAAGACATGGAGAAGTGAATACAAAGTTCATAAAATGGTCAGACAATAAAAGGAAACACAACATTCACACCGTATCCTCTTAAAATAATACAAATCTAGTTCACAAAGATTATTTTAGTGACTAACATTGGTATAATACACCAGATGGTCCAGCTGAACAGTAAAGAACATAGTTTATGTGCCTGAAACTCCAAGTTCACTTCCTCTCATTCCAGCCCCAACCATCAGAAATGCAGGTAAAAGTTAAACAGAAGTTATACTTGGGAAAGTGGGGAGAAGGATGTACCTTGGACAATAATGGTAGTTTTTTAAATTGCTCTCTATTTGAATATGAATGATATGAGCTAGAATGGCTCTAACAGGATCCAGATCTGAGGGCAGGACAAAGGACTACTTTTCTAAATAAGGAGGCAGTAACCAGGAGGGCCAGAATAAAGAAAACTTTGAGAACTAGATTCCAATTGAGTTACAATAAGTCTCTGAATAAAATATATGAAAGCTACCAAGATATGCTTCCAGTCAGGGAGAACTACGTAAGAAGCTCAATTACTCCAGGAAATTGTTCATCCCATTCCATGTTGGACTTAAGATTCCCAGGGCCAGACAGAAGAGGACAGCGAAGGACTTCCGAGAAAAAGCACAAAAGGCAAAGCAATACAGAAATTTGTCTTCCTATCAGAACTCAGCTCCACATACATATATTACCTTGTTCTTTTTCCCATCTACTTCAAACACCGAAATGGAGCCTTTACGATAAATTTCATCGCCTGGAGGGTGCTTCCAGACACATTTTGCCTACAAAAGCAACATACGAGTGTTAAGCGTGACAACCACTTACAAAGGATAACAAATTATTTTGAAAGCTCCTAGAAGCAGGAGCTTCACTAAGGAAACAAATGGTTAGTTGCCAATGGACACAATAATTTCAGAGCATCAATGCCCTTTTTTCTCAGTAATCAAAAAGACAGAACACCTAATCCCCCTGGACTACTGACCACTACAATCAAATGTAAATGATCCATTCAATTCATCCATGAGGCTAAATTGAACGTCACTATTACCATTAGCAAGTAACAACTGAAACACAATTCTCTAGACCAGGGGTCCCTAAACTAAGGCCCATGGATGCAGCCCTCCAAGGTCATTTACCAGTGCCCACTCTAATCTTTAGACTTAAGATCTTCTTATTATTATTATTATTACTAGCTGTACCCGCCACGCGTTGCTGTGGCCAACCTTACCTCCCTCTTTGTCTCCTTTCTTTGGGAGGAGATATAGTGCATGCACACACACGCGCATACACATATGGGTGTGGATAATATGGCAATGTCTATGTTGAAAGGAAGTTGTGGAGAATACCTACATGGATGTTAATTTTACTATATTTCCTCAACTCTCCCCTCAAATACACACAGTCACGCGGGAAATAAGTGGCTCTGGTGGAGTGCATGTCTTGAGGGGTTATTGTGGGGATGATCTTGCATGTGCATTAATTCCACTATATTTTCACAACTCCACACTCCCTTATGCATCCACTGTTGCTCTGCCAACATGTGTATGTTGCCAAGTTGTAAAAGATAGATAGATAGAATGATTTTCAATTCATACAGCAGTTCAAAAACATGCAAATGTGAGTAGAGCAATAGGCACCACTCTGGCAGGAAGGTAAGTGTGCTCCATGCAGTCATGCCAGTGGCCACATGACTTTGGAGGTGTCTATGGAAAACGCCGTCTCTCTCTCCCCCCCCCCCCACCTCTCTCTCTCTACCTCTCTCTCTCTCTCTACCTCTCCCTCTCTCTCTCTCTCTCTACCTCTCTACCCCCCGGGCTGTGCAAGGTGCGCTCTCCCCTCTTTCCCATGCTTCCTTCTTTCTTTCCCCCCTTCTTCCTTTCTCTCTTTCCTCCGTTGCCACAGCATGGATGGAGGAAGGTGAAGAGGAAGGGGTCATGGCGCCATGGAGATCGCCTGGGAAGTTCAAGGGGAAGGAGCGAGGGAGAGAAGGAAAGAGGCAGGAGAAGGAGGAATGAGAAGGAGAGGAAGCTGCCTGAAGGGAAAAAGGAGGAGGGCTTCCAAGCCTTGCGGGGAGATTCCTTCCCCCCTCTCTCACTCACACACAACCGTCAGGAAGCAATGCCTCTTTTGCACCTGCTTGCCTCACCTTTAAAAGAAAAAAGCAAAGAGCAAGGGGAAGGCGAAGTTGTGTGTATGTGTGTGGCCATGTGTGCGGGATAGGCTCCCGAGTATGCTGCCGTGAGGGAGGGAACTCGGTGCCGCTCGCTGTGCCAGTTCTGTTTGTATGGCCGTGCGTGCGCACGCACTTGGCTCTCAATGCTGTAACGGCAGCTCTTCCCTTGTGTGGATTTTTGGGGTGTCTGCTGTTTCTTTGGGGGTTTTTTGAGTGGAGGACAGGGCGCGCGCGCGCGTGTGCGTGTGTCGCGCGGGGGGGTGAGGGCCATGTGTGTGCGCGCGCGCCGGGGAGTTTGCGCCAGTGCGCATGCTCAGTTGTTCTGCCGTTTTTTGTGGTTGTTGTTGTGAGGTTTTGATTTCTGAGTGGATTAGTTTGTACCTAGTGGGTTGTCCTAGGGGCATGGCAATTTTGGTAGAATTTTGTGGAGGGGTTTTAGAGTTTTGCTTCCCCGTTGGACGCCAGTAGGAAATTTATAGATATAGATTATTATTATTATTATTTCTCTCACAAGGGAGAGTTCTGAACCTGCAGTTTGAAGTGTTAATGTGCAAAAATATCTGTTCTCTGTGTTATTTTCTCCCTTGCATTTACCCTTATAGAAATGTGAAACAGTTTGCAAGCAAGTAACCAAGTGATTAATGAAAGGCTTTAACATGTCTCAGGAGATGTTGTCTTCAGAGCTCACCATGTGCCTGCGTAGTATCGTTTGGCTCTTCATGTATTTGAGGCAAAACTCACACATGTAGAGGCGCCCCAGCCGTGCATATTCCTCTGGATAGGGAGAATGGTACCATGTGTCCAGCTCATAGCGGCCAAAAGCAATAGTCTTGATCATGTTGCTGCCTTCTGTGATCTGGCCCTGAAGTCTCAGTTTCTCCTATTGTGAGGGAAGAGAATGTTAAACTTATTATGCAAAAGAAAAAATATTTAACACATTGGTTTTATTTTTTAAAAAAGATTAAAACCATACTCTAAAGTAATCTGAATACTGACAAAATCCAGTATAAAAGAGAGTGTATTTTTGCATTGCAAAAAAATCCACAAAGTAAAAAAAAATACAGATGCCACTGCCTATTTTCCCTACTAATGGTACTTTGCCAGAAATGGGAAATAGCAAAATGATTTAAAAAGGCATCACAACACCATTCTGATCATGTTTTTTTTAACCATTCTGATCATGTTAAATATCTGTTAGTTACTTCATACACTTTTTTAGGTCTGAAGATCTGGAAGCTTTTTGCTTAAAAATAAACTGAAAACTGTTTTTTTTTTTCCATCTTCTCCAACCATTTCCAAAGTGTACTATTTAATGAATATATATAATCAATGAATTACAGCTCTTCAAACTGCCATCTTGTTGGACCCTGGAAGGATACTTTACAGATTAAACATTTCTAGATTCAGTGGGGATATTTTAACATTTCAAGATAGAAGATCTAAAAAAGACTTAACAAAACATTCTTACGTATGAATAAATTAATGCCCTCTGCCTTTTTGTGAAGGTTTGTGAGTACAATAAGACACATACACACATAGCAATAGAAGGAGGGAAAACTGTCAGGAAGTGCTGCAGTTTGTGGAATGAGACATCATTTTTTGTATTTTTTATTAATTTTTGTATTTTATGATGTTTTCAGTTGTTATTTTATTTTTTTAAGTTTAATTAGGTTGTGTTACATTGTTGAATGCATTTATCTTGATGTAACTGACTGTATGGTTTCTTTCCGGCAACTGAATGTTTGCCTTACATGTTGCAAACCACTCTGAGTCCCTGTGAGGAGATAGGGCGGTATACTAATAAAGATGATGATGATGATGGTGGTGATGATGATGATTATTATTATTATCATTGCCAGGCAGCTCTAGATTAAATTAAGACGAAATTACTTATCTGACCCCACAGAAAGCAACCGTGATATGGCCTATGATTTCAACTGGATTTGAAAATTCAGTTTACAGAGCAGCCCTATGCTCTACTCAAAAGTCAATGTAACTGAATCAAATAAGGCATATTCTCAGGTGTCAATAAAATGGAAGCCTCAAGTCTGGATCAAGGCTACGTAGTGCAAATTCTAGCTGATGACAGCTAATTCAGTCTTTCTGTCTCCTTTTCTCTACCCAACAATCTTTAAAAAACAGCTGTCTTAAAACTGATAAACAAAGCTTTATTGTCAATCCATTAAAGCAGGGTGATCAATCATAAGAATGGTGGGAGCCCTATGCCTCTCTAGTCTCCTCCAAAACAGACTTAGACCAAAACAGTCATCGCACAATACACTGCATATACATTTTTAAATTTTTTACTCACTCAAATTAGGGCTATGTGGATCTTTTTTTCAAAATTTGGCCAGTGTTGCTGACCCTCCATTAAGGCAAAAACATTCCTCAACGGCCAGAGAGAGGTCTACTGATCATTTTTAGATAGTATTTTCCCCAGGGAAAAAACTAAGGAATAGCGATGGTGGGGATCTTTGCAGCCTCGGAAAAAAGCATACATTTCAAAAATCCCCATTAGGTTTGTGCAGACTGCTGTGAATTTTTTCCCAGGTGGAAAACGAGAATTCAAAAATCTGTTTCAGTACCCACTCAAACACCTTCATTTGGAACCATCCTTGGATTACCAATCCCAATACTATTCATTAGCCATGATCTTGAGGATTCAGAAACAGTATTTCAAAAAACGGATATTTCTATGTTCTGGTTTCCATGCTATCATGTATGATGTCTCTCATTCAGAGGAAAATAACTTCCACTCTTACTTTCAAGTTGGGTAGAAAAAGAAAGAAAGGGGAAAAAACTTGTCTGGAGAAAAGGCATACATGAAACCTTTGGATTATAGGTTTCCATTTTGTTTTAATTTTGTTCTAGTTTTAAATTATTATGAACAGTTGAAATGGTTTTATAATGGTTCTGACTGCCTGTTCCTCATACGGAGATCTCTGAATATACGGCAGAAAAAAAATTCATCCTGCATCTCAGTCATGCTGAAAGTGAGGAACAAGGGAGGAAGTTAGTGATAAATTATGGTCTCTGGTCACCACAGTGGTTAGCCTGTCCCAATATGGAGCTCTGATCACAATTAGCCGTTGGAGTCAGGAAATCTGGAAGGCCAACAATCTGGTCCTCCAGGAGCTAAACAAGAAAATAAAGTGTGGTTCCTGCAAATTGTGGTATATTTCTGTTGAATTCCAGACCTGAAAAAAGCTACCAAATGGTGCAAAAATAAAGCTCTTCTGTCTAGCTTAAATCAACCAATGCTTGTAAAGGTTTTAGTTACCCAGCCTGGTTGGCCGTGCTGCCTGGGAGATTCTAAGAGTTGCACAACAAACAAACAAACTTCTCCAAACTCTAGAGCAGGCCTGGGCAAACTCCGGCCCTCCACATGTTTTGGACTCCAACTCCCACAATTCTTAACAGCTGGTAGGTTATTAGGAATTGTGGGAGTTGGAGTCCAAAACACCTGGATGACTGAAGTTTGCCCATGCCTGCTCTAGATCCTAAAAAAACAAACAAAACCCATACCTTCTTCTTGATTTCTGGATGAAGCTCAGTCTGAAGCATATGAATTCCCCAGTATCCTTCTCAAATCTTGTACATTTAATCTTTAGGATCACAATTTATTTATTTCTTATTTATTTCAAACATTTTTACCCCCACCCTTCTCAACCCCTAGGGTGACTCAAGGCGGCTTACAATTGGCTGTTACAATTCAATGCCGCTTCATAAAATACAATAGCAAAAATAACAATTAAAACCATGAACATTAAAATAAAAATTGAACAGTATACTTACGATCCATTTAGCTATTGCCACTCTGGTGGCTATTTATCTAGCCATATTCTAATGATTACTCCGCATCACTTATCCAAATCCACTTCCAAGCCATAGTCAAATATTTTCCATTGTCCTTTAACCTGACTGCCCAAAGGCCTGGTCCCACAACCACGATATTACCTTCTTTCTGAAGGTGAGGAGGGATGACGATGATCTAATTTCCCTGGGAAGCGTATTCCACAGGCGGGGGGCTACCACTGAGAAGGTCCTGTCCCTCGTCCCCGCCAAACATGTTTGAGACAACGGTGGGGCCGAGAGCAGAGCCTCCCCAGAGAATCTTAAGCTCCTAGGTGGGGCGTAGGAGATACGTTCTCCAAACTTCTCCAAACTGAAGAATCAAAGCATGAAAAAAATCACATCCCAATACTTAAAAGTGATTTCAGAAGTGCTGGTTCACTCTGAAGTCATGCTATGGATGATTCCCTACCGGAGAGTACTTGCTTCTTTAAAATATAATTTTATCCACTCTTTGCTTACATTATTTGAAAGTATCCCCCTAATCTTTTTGCAACCAGCCTGAGGGGCAGCTCACAAATAAAGCATCAAATAAATGTCAATCATAAAGCATGGATTCATTCTCTTGCCCCAGGACTTACTGCTTTTTCTGCTCAAGAATGTACTATGCCTGACACCTCAGGATGCTCAGAGGAATCAAACACAGAGGAGAACTGTCATCAGTTGGAGAAACCTGATGCCTCTTTCTCTTGTCACCAGCAGGACAAAACCTGATGCCTTTTCAAATGAGAATATTTACAAAGTCTTTTGATTTTGCCACAATCCTGCATAAACCTTCAAGGCATCACTACAGAAAAAAACTTTCTATTTCCTCAAATCAGAGATTATGTTAAGTAAAAAAAAGGTAAAGCTTTTCCCCTGGCTTTAAGTACAGTCGAGTCCAACTCTAGGAGGTGGTGCTCATCTCCATTTCTAAGCCAAAGAGTTGGCGTTGTCCATAGACACCTCCAAGGTCATGTGGCCAGCATGACTTATAAACTTTTAATAATAATAACAATGATAACAATAATAATAATAATAATAATAATAATAATAATAATAACAACAACTTTATTTATACCCTGCCACCATCTCCCCAAGGGACGCAGAGCGCCTTACATGAGTCCAAGCCCAACAACACATCAATAAAAACAAAAAGCAATAAACAAAAACAATAAATACAATACAATTAATATAAATCACATATAAACAATAACCAATAAACAGTAACACACAAGGATTTAAAAACCTATGGCCGGGCCAAATGTAATAGTTTAAAAATTAAAAAATAAAAAATAAAGGCTGGGCATGACTTCATGGAGCGCTGTTACCTTCCCGCCAGAGCAGTACCTATTGACCTATTAAGTAAGACCTGTATTTTTTCCGCTTCAGTGTTTCAGTTTAGCTGTTCTTAGACTTTGAAACTCCCTACAGGGAATATATCTCAAGTCTTTTGACTCAACGATTCAATTTTTGGTATAGTTTCCAGTCTAGTTTCCTTTTTGTGTATAAGGAATATATGAAAGATCAATGAAGACACTTCCTCGTTTTCCCTGGTCAGGTTTAAACCTGGTCAGGTTTAAATTGCCCTGCTTCCCAAACTCATGATCTGTGTTGGAGCAGGAAATGTGGCCTTCCACATCAGCCATAGCCCACAGAGCCAAAAATGAAAGAACACACTGGTAATAGAACATAGGCTAGTTTTACCCAATCCTCATCCACGTGCCCTCATGCCTTAGGCATGGGCAGCAATAACTGGAGGAAACATTCACATTCATAAAGCCACGACAATAGACCTTACCCCAAGTCTACAAAGTGCAATGATGATGTGAGTCCAACTTTTTAAACCGTGCCCAACTCTGGCTACACACAGCTTTGCTTACCAGATCCTCTGATGCTCTTGCTTGCGCTCGCCGGAACAGCTCTAGGTCATATTCGCTGGTCAGGTTTTCTAAAAGGGGCTCTCTTGTGTCTCCATAGGCTTGTCTGTGTTCCTGAAGCAACATAACAAGCATATATATTTAATACAGATTTCCTCTGATCTTGAGGAACAGATCTTCCCATCCTGGGGGGGGAGGGCATCAGAAACCTCAGGCATGGTCTACATAAGGAAATTGCTTATAGAAAGGAGGCGTGGTGTCAGGAAACAGGTGAAGACACCATGTGCTATAGTCTAATAGTCTAACAATAGACGCTCCAAGAATTGTTTTTAATATTAATGATACTTAATTCTGTATTTGTATATTTTAAGTTGTACTGTAATGCTTTTAATTGTGAGCTGCTTTGAGTCTCCGTATGGAGAGAAAAGGCAGGATATAGATAAACATAAGAAGAAGGTATAAATGTATTGGCACAGGTTCACAGAAGGGCAATGATGACGGCTGCCCCTGTCTGTGTTTACAAGTTGCCTGTCAACTTACAATGACCATGTGAATTGCATAGACCTTTCTTAGGCAAGAAATACTCAAGAGGTAGTTGTGTCAGTTCCTTCCTCTGAAATTCTGTATGACAGTACTTGGTATTTATTGGTGGCCTCCCATCCAAGTACTAACAAGAGCTGACCCTGCTTAGGTTCAGGAGATGAATATGTATTTGACATGGTTAACTTGTAAAGCACTGAACAAACATTGTTCAACTACAGGAAGAGCCATCACATCAAAGACATCAAAGACTTTATCTGCTACTTGCAGGACAGAATAATATGTGGATAGATTTGTGTGTGTGTGTCAGGAGCTACATGAGAAACTGCAAGTTGCTTCTGGTGTGAGAGAACAAGGATGCTACCTAGGGGACACCCTAGTGTTTACCATCCTGTGGGAGGCTTCTCTAATATCCCCGCGTGGGGAGCTGGAGCTGACAGATGGGAGCTCACCCCGCTCCCTGGATTCGATAGATTTCACTTATACTCTTGGAGAAAATGCTTAATGGAAAGAATGCCAATGAAATCAATTACGTACAAAAGAATTAGCTCTTTTATACTGGATTTCAAGGAGAGCATAGACAGTCTGGGACACTTCAGAGTGTAGACAGCCATATATTGGGGATGCTGTAATTCTGGATTTTCTGCACTAAGCAGGAACTTGGACCAAGTACCTTTCAATGCCCCCTCCAACTCTATAATCTCTCACAGCATATAAAAAGGATCTGTGTTCATTTTACGCATGAAAACTGAAGACAAATTGTAAGGCCAGGATCCATCTATTGATTCTACATAACCTATTCCAACCACAGTTTGAGCATGTGTGATACAAGCACAAATTCAATCAATGCATTTCTTATTTTAATTCTAAACCAATGTTACACAAACTTGGACCCTAGTATAGGATGAGCCTTGTGAGAACACTACAATAAGGCAAGAGCAAAAAGCATAGAGAGCCTCTCAAAGTCGTTGGACTGCAACTCCCATGAACCCTTGCCCATACTTATTATGACAACAGGACATGCAAGTTGCAGCCCAATAATAGTTTTGAGTGTCACATTATCCCCATTGAGTGATGCCTTATTCTGCCTTTCACACCCCACTTTACGTGGAAGATAAAGTCACTTGAATACCATGTATTTTTCCTTCTGCTCCTTTGTCAGCCCTGCATTCCTCTTCTTTCTCATCTCTGCTACTTTCTCTTTGTACCTTAATTGTCTTTCGGTTGGTGCCTGTGAAGGGGATCAGAAACAGAAGCAGTTGTGTAAAAAAGGAGACGCTCAAACAGTTCAAATCTTACCGAAATCTTCATATTATTTGCCCAAACCTGAGAAATGATTGTCTCAGAGTGGTTTCATGTGTTCTAACAGGAGTGGACAGGTAGAACACAAAAATGCTTTCTCTTAGAACTACTAGATCATATCCAGACTCTAAAATGAAATACAATGGACTCTTGATATCCATGGGGTTGATATCCATAATCCCCCATGGATACAAAGATCCATGGATGCTCAAGTCCTACTGTGTACAGTGGTGTAGTAAATTGATGTTACTTGTCTAAAATGGAAAAATAAAAAAAAAATGGATTGGGGAGGGGGGGATATTTTCAAACTATGGATGATTAAACCCATACATACAGAACATCAGTTTATCTAGTGATTTTGGAAGCAAGTGAATATATCCATTGCTTGTTTTTCCTAAAACTGAGACAAAGCAATTGCTCAGAGGTTCAGGCCACTACTTCAGGTAGCTATACATACAGATGGACTCATTTCTACACCAACATGGTTATGATGCTACCAAACATTAGTCAAAGACATGTTGAGGACTGGAAACAAACAGCCTGAATTAGATACAATGGCAAAAAGGTGTTTTTAAAAATAATAATAATAATAAATTAGAATAGACTACCTGATGTCTGGTGGCATGTCTATTATTGTCATCTTGTCGATGAGACAGCATCCTGTCCTCAACTTGTTTGTCCCGGCTCTGGGCTCTTACCTTAAAATCCAGAAAGATAACATATAAATCCCTTCCTTCCTACAACATACAAGTCTTGTTAAGATAAAGGAAACAAGCTTTAGTCAAAAGGCATAAAATGAGAGAGTAAAAGCACTGTTGACTTTGAACATGGACATCTCTAGGCCTTGCTGGCAGGAATAAAATGTTTTGAGTCCACAACACCTTGATTCACAATGGTCTGATTAGGAAAGTGGTTCTCAACCTGTGGGTCCCCAGATGTTTTGGCCTTCAACTCCCAGAAATCCTAACAGCTGGTAAACTGGTTGGGATTTCTGAGAGTTGTAGGCCAAAACACCTGGGGACCCACAGGTCGAGAACCACTGGATTAGGATGAGTTCTAGGTCAGAGTCCCAGTTGACTGCCTGGAAATCTGACCCACTATTCGAAGTGAAATATAATACAGATCCAGTTGGTAAATGAATCAAATGAATTCTCAAATAGCATGGTTGGTATTGTGCAACGTCAGCCACACAGCCACTACAAGAAGCATCTATGACTGATTCTGATAAAAATTCTGATTCTGATTCTGATAAAAATTCTCCACTACAGAGGAATGTATGTTAAAGGCAAGGAACCAGGAATGGACATTAGCGCCTGCATTTAATAGAAAAAGTCAGTATCCCAACCACTTTCCTCCAACAAGCTAGGACACATTGAAGGAACTAAGATCCTCAGATTTCTTGTCACTCTCACTATTGTATCCTTATTGAATCAAAAGAAAACTTGTACAAAAGTAATTTCTCAATCACATTCAGGGAAGAAAGCATTTGCTACTGGGCCACTGCGTATATAGCAGAACCTTCTAAACAAACCAGTTTGTCTTTGCTGTTTGTAAATGATTAGTTCCAAGCTAGGGTCCCTTACACCTAACAAGGCGTAATCATAAAACAAAGTTTATTCTTGATAGGAAAGCAACCAACCAGGAATCCCAGTTCGGATTAGAGGGAAAACAAACTACAGAGTCTCATTGAAAAGGGAGTAAATCTACAGCAAATCTTTTCAAACATTTCATGTTGGAGACACAGCTTTTAGACTTGAATCATTTCGTGACACAGTAATTCAGTTTTATTAACAAACTAGAGATTAAACCAACCCCTTATGAGAGATACGGGAGGGGGGGGGCATAAATTGTGAAAATGAAATGTATAAGGACACAGTGTATCACATGAAAACCTTGCATTTATATATTTTAAAATATATTATTTATTGTTTAGTTCATATAGACTCAAAGGTTTCTTGTTATGTTCATACGACACACACACTATAGCCAACACCTTAAACTGTCGCGACACACCGTTTAGAAAAGTCTGATCTATAGAGTTGAGCAGGTAAAGTGTGCTGAAACTTTTCCATTTCCCTCTTTCCTCTTGCAATTTCCTCCAACTGCTTTCTCTTCTTTCCACACATTTTAAGAGAAGTTATTACCTTGCATTCATCCGCTGAAAGGTTATGATATAGCGGACATCCGGATATGGAAAAGTGTCTTTCATGTTTTCCAGTCAGATGTCCTAAGGGAAGAATACATATCATATCATATTTAGTAATAAAAAGGTTAGGCAACGAATTAAGACAAGAGATTATAAAAATTGGCACCTTTTCACATATTACAAGAAATTCTACAATACCTAAAGAATTGCAGCCAGGGGTGGGACATTTCATGTTGAAATTGTAGCTTTCATGAAAGCGACGGCGCTTGGGACGATGGGACAGATCACTTCCAGAATCCTTCATAGACATATCCTTGGCAATGCTCTCATCATGAGACATGTTGGGGCTGGAGATATCGATGTCAGATTCCGACGATGGGGCATTCCCTGTTGGCGTGCGGGGTGGAGACTCATCATGGTCGGCCGCATTTTTAGTGTCTGTAACATTAGGAGATTGTGTAAAGGCTATGATAATAAACTTGAAATCATGAGAAGGAACTTCTACAAGGAGTTCATTTGTAGGTGTTAAGACTAGACCTTAAATGTAACATGGTACTAAAGATTCTTTATTGATCTCCAAAATTTTTGAGGGTAAACTCAACCAAAAAGAAGAAATGAGAGGCAAACAGGCGATTCAACCATGTCTGATCAACAGAGCTACTAAGATTTCAAAGGCAGTCCCAGCTATGTCTCTATCCCCCAAGGAAGCATTCTGTATCAGAAAGTCTAATGCAGAACAATATGATTCTACTGACTCTGGCTCCCCATTCTCTGTGCCCAGTTCACCAACCTCTATCTGAAAAGTCCACCACTTGCTCTGTTTCTGATCCAGATGAGCGGGTTTGCCGAAGCGGATATTTTTTGGGAGTCACAGGTGTGGGCTGTTGCTGGCTGCGGGTTACTCTCCGAGTAGAATAAACAGGCTCCTCTCCTGCAAATGATGGGGGGTTTCGAACTGGACTGGAATCTAATTTTATAAGAGGTATAAGCACAAAGTTTCATTTGTGAATGTATCACTTCCGCACTTAAAGCCTTTCCCACATTAACACTAGTTCTGATAGTGAGAGCTTCAATATAGTCAGGATTTTCTGCTTGAGAACAAAGATTGTGTGGGAAGCATTAAAATCTTTTGTAAAAAAAGAACTGCACAGCCAGAGGCTTTATTAACTACAGTATGTGTAACCAGTATAATGATATTATAATATGCAGAGTTGAATTATGTTGAAGGCACTTGCAGATCTACCTTGAGAACTCTGGCTGAGTCTCGCAGAAGAGCGAGTCACACGTGCGGACTGGCGTAAATTGCCATCACTTTCTGAACTGTCCGTATGCTCTGGGTCCGTAGAGAAATCGGAGTCCTCAGTCCCATCAGAACTGCTGCCTGCATTTCTCTGAAAAACCAAATACATAAAACAAAAAAGGCAAATGAATTCGTTGCCTAGAATCACTTCTTCAAGGCTCACCATAGACACCCATCAAGAAAACACAAACACTTTCGATTAAAAGTGTGATTTCTTTGTAGTGCATCAAACTCCGATTATAATTTTACAGTGTTTGAAAGGAGAGAGATTCTTAGTCTAAAGCTTTGGTGACTATCCATGCATGCCAGCATTTGTCTATCAGGTCCTGAAGTGGAGGCTTTGTATACTGTTAAATGGGAACTCTCATTTCCATGCTGGTATAAATTAAATGAATTGATGAATTTTGAAGAACTGAAGTAGTATATGGAAAAGGAACGGATGTATTAGGTCAAGTTATCAAGATTTTTCAAGGTTAAAACCTCAAAACTGCCAGAAATCCCAAAAACATTCTCCAAAATGCCACCCATCATCATCATCATATTTAATTACTTATTAATCACCCTCCATCCGAGAATGCTCTAGGCAATTTACAGCTAAATTGTAAAAGATAAAATACATACATACAGAATTTAAAAATTAACAGAGATCGAATGCTCTAGTAAAAAGCCAGGTCATAAGTGCTAAAGTAAAAGGTCCTAAGTCACGCATGGCTCTCATATAGGGCGGCAAGGAATTCCATAAGGCAGGGGCAGAACTTTAAACTATCTAAAGCTAATTAAAAGTTTGATTTTTCTGTCCTGTAATTCATCTCACATATTCCCCAAGTCAACGCTTATAAGGAAGATATCTCCATGCCTCAATGCACAGGGAAGTAACTAAGGCTCGCAGGTATTTAAAGACTCCCATAATCCTCCACCATCAATCTGATGTGAATTGGAAGTCAGATCTCAAGGCAATGGTCTTAAACTTATTTTTTCATATAGTCAATCAGAAACCACTGACAAACTCTTGCTGTTTTCAGTTTTAGTCCTCACAATTCCTACACTGATCATGGTGACTGGAGTTCTGAGAACTTACTGGTAAATCCAAACAATCCGGAAAGTTGTTCCATCATGTTGCACCAAATGATCATCAGCTCTCTATGCAAGGAACTATGTGCAACACTGTTTCTTAGGAAGACAACATTTCTAAGCATTAGCCTGTTTCATAGCCACCCACACAAACAGGGTTGAGACCTTGCTAACGTTACATAGATTATAATGCAATTTTCAATAATCCACTGCACACATATTGTGATATTAGATGATAAGTATGATTCAAAGTATATGCCTGAAGACTAAATCAAGAATGTGGAATGTCAGTGGAATGCATTTGTATATGGATGATGAAAAGCTAACAGAGTGTGAGTAGGAGGTGTTGTTAGAATGATGTGCAAGGAAAAGAGAACAACAGGGTCAGGATTCAGAAGTCAGAGAGAAAAAGGAATCAAGTTCCAAAAAGACAGCAAAAGAGTTTGTGAGGGTAGACAGTGCTGTACAGTTAACAGATTAATGGTATATTAAAATAAAGGGAAGCTGCAGTCACATATGTTTGTGCCCTGGAGGTAAAAAATGTCGTCCTCTCTCTCCCTCATATGTATGTATGCATATGTATATATGCTGATTGCACCAGTGAGGTGCCACATACCTCACAGAAAAGTTTTGTATTGTTTAGTGGCTATTCTAGGGTTTTTCTTAGTCATGTATAAGAAGTCTTGGTTTTACCAATGCCAAACTCTCAATTAAACAACAACTGCAAGATGTGACTATTTGAATACATGTGGGATAATTAAGTGCCTTAAGATCATCTATTCTTAGTGAATGAATCACTCCCAATCTTCCCATTCTATTTCACTAATACATTATTACAGATTACAGATTTTGATTATGAAAAGGTACATACAAAGACGCGTCTGAACATAATGTCACTTGTCGTTGTTGCTGATTTAATGTCCTCTATGTGGGTAAATGGATATGTGGGTAAAACTCTTATTGAGCTTTATGGCATTCTAATATTTTGTGTTGTTTGATATGCCTCTGTGCAAAAGCTGTATTTTTTTCTTTATTGTTGTTCAGTTCTCAGAGTGTACGCGCAAAAACAACCCAACCTTATTTTCAAACATTGAGGAAGTGGTTCCAGTGGGAATCCTGGGAGCAATAATACCTTAAGAGCAAATGTGGGATTTGAGGTAGGATTGACACAATGACAGCCATGTGATCATCACAGTGGTCCCTTCGTCACTCAAGTTCAAATAAAAGCTAGAATTTAAAATGGTCTTCACAGACACACAGCAAATAGCTTAACCTATGTGTCATACAGTCTAGTTTATCAGAAACCTGAAACGACTTCTTTGGGGACAGTTGTCACTGCTGATTTAATAATCACCATCAAACTGAGAATAAAGGGCCACTTCACCCACAGCTTCCTAAACAGATCAATGTATAGGAAACATCCTTTCTAACGGTGTATCTATACTGTAGAATTAATGTGTTTGACACCACTTTAACTGCCATGGCTCAATGCTACAGAATCATAGGATTTGTAGTTTGCTGGAGCACCAATACTCTTTAGCAGACAAGACTAGACTATTTATTTATTATATTTATTTATTTCCTATGTTTATACCCCGCCCTTCTCTTCCTGAAAGAGGACTCAGGGCAGCCTAACAAAAGCATCTACAATCAAAATATTAAAAATTAAAACAACAATCAAAACAATTAATTAGGACGCATCCATTAAAATTGAACTCCAAAAACCAGTACCGGTCAATTCATTGCCATAAGTTGTATGATCTTCTTCCACTTGCTGCTCACTGATCAAATGCTTGGTCCCATAAACAGGTCTTGATTTTCCTTATAAAATCTACAACTCCCACAATTCCATAGAATTGAGCCATGACAGTTAAAAGTGGTACCAAACTGCATTAATTCTACAGTGTTGATGCACCCGAAGAAGAACTGCAATCACAAGCATCTTAAGTTATACAATTAGAGAACGTTTACAATTGTGCTTTGTGCCGTGACACAACTTGGGTAACAGGTGCCAGGGAAGGAAGAAAACGCTAAGGAGAATACAAAGAGTTAAAGAGGAGCAGTCTGGGAGAATTTACTCTTGCAGCAATGTTAACACTAAGCAGATATAGATTTGACAAGCCTCAGCACATGCAAAAGCAAATCATTAGTAAGAAAAATACGAGGGTTGAATGAAAAGTAATGCCTCCAGCTTCGTTACTTAGGTTTGGATGGGAATATTTTAATAAATCAAATGCAGAAATAATCCTTAGAATGTGCTCTTTAACTACCACTATTCACTTTTCCACATAATCACCAGACAATTGGATACACTTCTGCCAACGATAAACAAGTATTCTGAAGGCATCACGGAAGACATCGACTCTGTTTCTGCAACCAGCGTCTCAGTTCTCTCAACCTGGGTACCCATCGTGCACAGATCTTCCGATAGCCAAGCAAAGCAATAATGTGACACACATGTTCTCATGAAATGCTGATGATGCTTGAAATTTCTCTCTGAGTGATACGACAATCGTCCTGAATCAATCTGTCAACCTTTTGCTTGTTAAACGCGGTGGTTGCTATCACAGGACGTCCAACTCTTTGTTTGTCATTCAAGCCAGATGTTCCCACCTCAACATCTTTAAACTTACTCGCCCAATGACGCACAGTACTCACATCAACACAATCACCATAGACAGCTTGCATTCTCTGATGAATCTCCTTTGGGGTGACACCTTCTGTTGTCAAGAATTCAATAACTGCAAGTTGCTTAAGTTGCATTGACCAACCATCTGCGCAGGGTTCCATACTTCGCACATTAACAACACAATCGTTCAATGCTAAGGCTTCCCACCAAAATGGAACTGTAGAGGAGAGTCTACTGAACAAGCCAGTACCTGCCATCTGTTGAGGAGTTACGAAGGTAGAGGCATTACATTTCATTCAACTCTCGTACATACTTTAAAGATTCACTGCAAGAACTGAAAGATACAAATGTTTAGAATTTTTCCAACAATGTCTGTATACTTAATACATAGCAGCAGAGGACAAATATGCTGTGACTCTTGATTCACCACTTTATAACTGAAAAACAAATACTACTGCTCAATCAAGCTAGTTAAGAAAATTATCCTATTTATTCCAGTAGGAGCTATGTATATGAACTAGGACTCTGAAATTATAATCTCCAAAAGAAAATCTGGCAGTTTTGGATTACAGCAGAAGTTTCCAAACATCTTCTGCTATGGAACCCTTCAGAAGGCATTCCCACCCCCCATGGTACCCTAATTCTATCCTTGATTTTTAGCTTGTGAACCCACAAAGTTTTTTGGATAATACAGGTGGTTTTGAAATACTTTAAATATAACCGCAAACCTTTATTTAGTTACAAGAAAATATTGGATTATTTCATGAATGAGATTGTTTAATTTTTGTACTAAAAATAGTACTGAAATTGGTCTTTATGTCCAACAGCTAAATTTGAAGATCTGGGGTGGAATCCAAATAACTTCTGTATTTGTTTTTGATGTAAATATACACTGAAAAACCTGATTCACATCAACAGGTGAACACAAAGGGGAGCAGAGGTTGGACAGTCTTCCTGGCTACCAATCCTACTCAAAAGTCATTCAGTGGTACAGATTCAAAAACCTGAGGTACACTGAATTTAGCCCTCTCCACAAAAGTTGCCGAAATACACCATATTGAGCTTTGTGAGTGCACCATTTTTTCAAATGAAGCCCTGTTTGAAGATAAGGGCATTCATAAGGATACCAAGATGCTTGTTTATAAAGCCATTATACTTCCAACTCTGTTGTACACATGTGAAACATGGAGTGTCTACAAATGTTACTCTCAACTTCTGGCACAATTCCATCAGCGTTGCCTTCAAAAATCTCTTTGGAAGACAGGTGGACAAATGTTAGCATTCTAGAAACAAAGACCATCAGTACGGAAGAGATGATCCTACACCATCAACTTCGCTGAAGCAGCTGTGTTGTCCAAATGCCTGATCACCGTCTCCCAAAGCAGTTACTTTACTCTCAGCTCAACAATGGAAAAGGGAATGTTGATTGACAGCAAAAGAGATTTAAAGATGGGCTTAAAGCTAATCTTTAAAAAACGTGGAATAAACACGCCATGGCACTTGAGTGCTCTCACTGGATGTCAGCTTACCAACAGTGCTGTGGCTTTCAAAGAAGCATGAATAGAGGACGAAAGGAAAAAAGGAGTCAAAGGGAAGGTGTGTCATGCAAAACCTTGTCGGGACTGCTTTCCATTTGGAAATATGTCTCCTCGAAAGCCCATGTGGATCTAGAATAGGTCTCTAGTCACTAACAGGCCCACCACCAAGACCATACCTGGCCACGAGGGATCACCTATAGTGACAATGAATTTCAATAAGATCTTCATACTCTGGCACAGACAACATGTGATGTTTATTTCAATTGACAAATGGGTCTTTCGTGCACTCAATGTCTCAGCTGATGTCTGGGAAATATGCCTTGTGTGGTTTTATATTAAAATCCATCTTAAATTTCTCTCAGTCTCAAGGGAAGGCAATGGCTAATCACACCTGGACAAATTTCGCCAAAAAGCCCCTGTACTGGAGTCACCTTAGAGTGGAAATGACACAATAACAAGATAACAAAATATCAAGTTTCAATGTATCAGAGGATCTATTGCTGTATAAACTAAAAGGAAAACTCAATCTAACCAGTGTATAAATCTCTTTCCCTTGAAATGGAAATCTCTAAGGGCTCTGTCCCACAGCCATATAATCTTTTAACTTTATTGAATGTTTAAATTGTGTTGTGTTATCTATTTATTATGTCATCACCAGTTTTATAATTTATTAGATATGTATTGTCAAAGGCTTTCATGGCTGGAATCACTGGGTTGTTGTAGATTTTTCGGGCTATATAGCCATCTTCTAGAAGCATTCTCTCCTGACGTTTCACCTGCATCTATAGCAGGCATCCTCAGAGGTTGTGAGGTCTGTTCAGACCTCACAACCTCTGAGGATGCTTGCCACAGATGCAGGCAAAACGTCAGGAAAGAATGCTTCTAGAACATGGCCATATAGCCTGAAAAACCTACAACGATCTCTTATTAGATATGTTTGTGGTGTGATGATAATGCTTAATTTTATGTTCTGAAATGTTTTTCATTACATGTTTGTTTGCCACTTTGAGTACCAATTGGGAGAAAGGCGGGATAGAAATAAATAAATAACAAAACCCAGAATATTATGGCAGATAATCAACGGAAATGATATCGGATTGTGGATTGACGATGAGACAACACGGAATGGCTTTTGTAGTAATGTTGATGTTTTGATTAGGATGTCTTTTAATAATGATGAACTGTGGATTATTATTTTTATACTATGTCTTGTATTTTGCACCTGTTTTTCTATGTTGTACACCGCAATGAGTCGCCCCTGGGCTGAGAATCGCGGTATATAATCGCAGTAAATAAATAAATAATAATCCAGAATATTGGCTTTGAACTGGGTTATCTAAAGGTCCTTCCACACAACCATATAACCCAGAATATCAAGGCAGAAAATCCCACAGTATTGGCTTTGAACTGAAGTATGTGGCAGTTTGGACTCAAATAACACAGTTCACAACAGATATTGTGAGATTTTCTGCCTTCATATTCTGGGTTATATGGCTGTGTGGAAGCACCCTTCCAGACAGGCCCTGTATCCCAGGATCTGAACCCAGGTTTTCTGCTTTAAACTGGACTATGTGAGTCCGCAATGCCTGATAATCTGGAATAAACATAAAACCTGGGATCAGATGCTGGGATACAGGGCCTGTCTGGAAGGGCCCCAAGTCCACACTGCCATATAATCCAGTTCAATGTGGAGTTTGTTTAGAAAAGGCCTTAATTAGATTAATCAAAAGGAAATGATGCCTTTGCAGGTTTCTCCTGCAGTTAAAATGGTTCACTGATGGGGAAAAAAATGTAAGAGTATAACCATATTTAATCAAAACTGATTCCTGTTCTGCAACCCTGCCTGGGCCATCTTGCTTGCTCTGTTTTGAACCATCTCAGGCATTTTCTTCCTCCGCCAATCACAACATCAAGGAGGTGGGCGTTCAGTTGCCTGTCATCCAATGAGGGGAGAGGGAAGGCCAATTCGGACCAGCCAATCAGCGCCTTTCCTCAACACATACAGCCAAGTCTGAAGCGAGGAAGGAGGCGGGGAGAAGAAAACCGCGCCAGTAGGAAGTGATAGGGAGGCCAGCCAATGAGAGGACGGCAAGGGAGCCTATTAGGGCGGGAAGGAGGCGGGACACAACAACCACCCAAAGGGAGGAGGGAAACAAATAACCGTCGAAGGCGGGGCTTGCCCTAACTGATGGCGAGGGCGGCCATTCAAGCGGCGGCGGGAGGCAGAGGGAGCCAATCACGCCGCGAGCTAAAGCAGGGGCTTGAAGGCCTACGTTTTTAACTGGTTTTCGAGCCTGGCGGTCTAAGCGGGCGAAGGAGAAGGCGAGCGGAGGGGCTTGGCTCCTTCTGGCGCCGCTTACCTTTCGGCGAGACATCCTGGGCGGAGGCGGCGGCGGCGGCAGCGAGGGTGGCTGCGCCCCGGCCGCCGCGTTGGCTCCGGCGGTGTCCGTCGTGACTGGCGTGCCTCCGGTTCCCCAGCGCCAGGCCGCGCCGCCCTCTGGTGCCTGGTCTCCCCCAGCGGCGACCTTTCAGCCGACTCCCTCCACTCTTCCGCCGGGACACTCGGCGGGGAGATACACACCCCCGTCCTGCCCGTCACGTGACGCAGGCAAACCTCACCTCACGCCGACGGCCGCCCGCCATCTTGGAATGGGGAATGACGTCTTCGGCGCGTGGAGCGGCGGCCATCTTTGAGCCGGGCAGAGCCTCGGTTCGAAAGAACAGGGGCGGCCATCTTTGAGCCGGGCAGAGCTTGGTTCTTACCCAAAAGTCTAAACTGACCACAGTTGCATCGGGTGTTTGTATTCAGCGCTGTGCTGACTCCGCCATCTTTGTTTTGGGAACCAGCCTCTGTTCCTCATAATAGGAGCATCCATCTTTGGTTTGGGCAAACCGGGTTGTAGCTATATACATTTCTCTATTATTATTATTATTATTATTATTATTATTATTATTATTACCTTTATTTGTACCCCGCTAGCATCTCCCGAAGGACTCGATGCGGCTTACAAAGGCCAAGGCCTCAAAGCACAACATAACAATACAAAACCTAAAGCAAATTAAAAACAATTAAAGCAATATTAAACAACAAGCAATAAACAATACACCAGGACACAATAAAACTGGGCCGGGCCAGAGTAATGGGTACAGAATTAAAAGTGCTGATGTGACAGGTGGTATATAAGGATTATAGGGTAAGTGCAGTGTGCGGCAATCTTAGTTCTAATAAAGTGCTTCTGGGACTTGGTATTGGAGATTCCTATTCTGGGAAGGCACATCGGAACAGCCAGGTCTTCAAGTTCTTTCTAAAAACTGCCAATGTAGGGGCCTGTCTAAGATCTTTGGGGAGGGTGTTCCAGAGTCGGAAGGCCACCACAGAAAAGGCCCTGTCTCGTGTCCCCACCAAACGCACTTGCGACGCAGGCGGAATCACGAGCAGGGCCTCTCCGGATGAACAAAGTGAGTGCGTGGGTTCATAAACAGAGATGCGGTCACGCAGGTAGGATGGTCCCAAACCGTTCAGGGCTTTGTAGGTAAGCACCTGCACCTTAAATTGGGCTCGGAAAATAAACGGCAGCCAGTGGAGCTCCTTGAACATTTATTATTATTATTATCATTATTATTATTATGTTTATTATTTACTAGCCGTCCCCTGCCATGCGTTGCTGTGGCCCACATAGGGGTTCTGTGTGGGAGATTTGGCCCAATTCTATTGGTGGGGTTCAGAATGCTCTTTGACTGTAGGTGAACTATAAATCCCAGCAACTACAACTCCCAAATGTCAAGATTGTATTTCCCCCAAACTCCACCAGTGTTCACATTTTGGCATATTGAGTATTCTTGTAGAGTTTGGTCCAGATCCATCATTGTTTGAGCCCACGGTCATCTTTGGATGTAGGTGAACTACAACTCCAAAACCAAAGGACACTGCCCACCAAACCCTTCCAGTATTTTCTGTTGGTCATGGGAGAACTGTGTGCCAAGTTTGGTTCAATTCCATCGTTGGTGGAGGTCAGAATGTTATTTGATTGTAGGTGAACTATAAATCCCAGCAACTACAACTCCCAAATGACAAAATCAATTTTTTTTAGTTAAGGACATACATTGGGTTCCACAGGCGGAGGTCACCACCGAGAAGGCCCTCTCCCTCATCCCCACCAGCTGTGTTTGCGAACCTGGTGGGACCTAGAGCAGGGCCTCCCCTGCAGATCTTAGACTATGAGGGAGATAAGTTCAGACAAGTAAGCTGGGCCGGAGTCATATAGGGCTTTATAGGCCAAGGCCAGCATTTTGAATTTAGTTATATCCCGTTTGTTTTCTCTCGATAAGGAGACTCAAAGCAGCTCATAACTAAAAGCACTGCAATACAACTTCAAATATACAAGTATTAAACATCATTAAAAGCATATAAAACAGGCAAGGGCAAACTTGAGCCCTCCAGGTGTTTTGGAGTTCCTACCAGCTGTTAGAAACTGTGGGAGCTGAAGTCCAAAAGAGCTGTCACTTCATCACACTAGAGAATGAATCCACTTTAAATCCGATTTCTGCCTCCTGCAGAATCCTGGGGTTTGTAGTTTAGTGAGGCTGTTAAAGGCTCGTCCCCAAACTACAAGCCCCAGAATTCTACAGGAGGCAGAAAGCAGTTTTAAAGTGGATTCATTCTCTTGTGCAGTGGTTCTCAACCGGACAAATCACAAAATGAAAAAAATGCAACATATTAAATCAGCATTGTGGGATCAACATAAAAGAACTGGGAAAATATATGTGCATTATTGCATCAAAAGGTTTCAATGTATAGCAGAATTTGCCACCTCCCAGTGTATATAACCTATTAATATATGGATGCAGTTAGCTTGCAATGACAGATAAAGAAACCTAAAACTGTAATAAAAGTAGTGCTGGGATGCCAAATTGAAGCACCTGGCAAAATGTATAGTTCATTAAAAAAAAGTACAGATGGGAGCTCTCAATATGACAGGCAGGCTGGCAGTCCTGTATTAGGACTACTCACTAATGGTCCACTCAAGTATTTTCTACACTGCTATATAATACAGATTATCAAAGCAGATAATCTAATCCACTTTAGCCACTTTCAACTGGGTATAATCCAGTTCAAAGCAGATAATCTAGATTTTATATTGCACTGTAGAAGGGACCTCACACTAATGGATGGGCTACTTCTTAAATCTTAGGTATGGTGTACCATATATTAGTAATCTTGAATCATAGAGCTGGAAGAGACCCCAAAGCCATCCTGTCTAACCTCATGTGATTAATGAACAAATGATCAAAGCACCCCTGACAGATGGCCATCCACCCTCTGCTTTAAAATTTCCAGAGAAGACTCCACCACCCTCGGGCCCTTTCTACACTGCCACATAATCCAGGTTATCAGTGCAGATAATCCACACTATCTGCTTTGACCTGGATTATATGAGTTTACACTGACATATAATCCAGTTCAAAGCAGATCATCTGGATTTTTCAGGCAATGTAGAAGGGACCTGATGCAGCATATTCCACTGTTGAATATCTCTTACCATCAGGAAGTTCTTCCTAATATTCACGTGGAATCCCTTAGTATACTTTATCTGTTAAACAGCTGAAAGCCTCTTTAGATTTTGATGGCGTGACCTCAGATGTAGGCTAAAAGCATATGTCATGTTTACTGTAAAAGTTTGGCCCAACCTGGTAGAATGCTGTCATGTGGTCTTGTCCCAGAACCAGATGCTGCTGTGACCTTGCTTCTGGTCATTGAGGTTCCACTTTCCATGAACCAGTGCTATGAACTTTAATGCTATGAATTGTACAGGTGGCAGGAGATAACATTGTGTAGGAGAGGGTTATCTATGTTATAGTCATAATATAACAATTTGGCACAGAGCAAGGCCACACTTCAAACAGAACTCATGGCTCACAGTGATGGTTAAGAGACAGTATACACATGCAAAATACAAAAATTTCCCTGGTTACGTCTGGGAAAAAATATTAAGTTATAATTTCCCGATTCCCCTACTAGTGTGGCCAGTGGCTTACAGAAGCCGAAAAACAAAACATCTTTTTCAAGTTTTGCAAACGACAGTAAATACACACAATATCCTCATGTGCCCTTCAACCTGTCCAGCATTGCCCTGAACACTCCCTATAGAACAAGGCTATCTGACCAGCTTTTTATATTAGTATTTTAAAGATTTTACAGAAACAAATATAATCAGCCAACAATGCATCTGAAATCCACTACAATGAGGTGTATTGAGTTTGTATTTCCTGACTATCCAGCTAAAAATGTCCAGCTGACACAACAACAACTATAGCAGAGTATCTTTCCAAAAATCAGCATGTGATGAAGGGGGATAGAAAAGCCTGGCATTTTCATTTGAGTAAACTAATAAATTTGCCCCATGTTGTATAGAATTTGGAAATGCCTTGGTTACCCCTAGTAAATTTTACACTTTCAGTTTTTCCATTTGCTTGATGTTCCAGACTCTTTACTTAGAAAGTGCTGGGTCATGTAAGCCTTTCGGATTATATGCAATCTCTAAATGTCTTATTTGTATATCTCAATATAGACATCTCCATGCATTCATTCCAAAGTAATTTCCACCTGCAAATATAAACTCCCATATTCATTGTTTTTGTGTGCCTTCAAGTCATTTCTGACTTATGATGGCTCTAAGGCGACCTATCGCGTGATTTTCCTAGCAAAATTAGTTTAGAGGGATTTGCCTTCCCTCCAAGGCTAAGAAAGTGAAGACTCGTCCAAGGTCACCTAGTGGGTTTCCCTGATCATTTGGAGATTTGAACTCTGGTCTCACAGCTTTCTTATCAGACACTCAAACCACCACACCATGCAATGATTTCCAGTGGCAAAGCCTTACTGGATGAACAAAGAGGACACAATTGGAAAGATACTGAACATTTTTAAAATATGTATTTTATAGCTAGCATCTAGGTGAGTTAGAGGGAGATGGTGTCTTACACTTTGCATAAATATAATTTAAAGTCTAGTAGTGGCCTCGGGCAAGTGCTGCTCCTTAAAAAGTTCTTCAAAGGTTTTAGAAAGTACTGTAGAGTCTCGCTTATCCACCATAAACGGGCCAGCAGAATGTTGGATAAGCGAAAATGTTGGATAATAAGGAAGGGATTAAGGAAAAGACCATTAAATGTCAAATTATGTTATGATTTTACAAATTAAGAACCAAAACATCATGTTTTACAACAAATTGACAGAAAAAGCAGTTCAACACACATTAATGTTATGTAGCAAATACTATATTTATGAACACCAAAACATCACAATGCATTGAAACAGCTGTGGATCCAGGCACAAGGCAGACTGCATTGGATAATGCAGAACGTTGGATGGGTGAAAGTTGGATAAGCGAGACTCTACTGTACATACATTTAAACATTTGACAAATGGCAACTGACCACAGTCTGCATATAACCATTTTGAGAGCTGTTTATTGGCCTTCTAAATGTCTTTTCTTCTGCTTCCTACATCTGAGATGCAAAAATGTAAGCTTTTCCTTAGCACCTGGCAAGATGTAAAGATGAGATTTTCCAAGTGTCTAACCCAGGGGTCCTCAAACTAAGGCCCGAGGGCCAGATACAGCCCTTCA